TAAATACTACTAGTTTAAGTACCAAGGTTGTCATGCCACACCTTTTGCCTTTGTGAATCTGAAAGTAGGGAGAGATGCTTGTTTTAAATTACATAAGATGTATGAGTAAAACTGTTGAACTTGAATGAACATTTCTTCCTCTGTTATTATTTGATTACTCGCAGACAGTGAGTTCAGTCTTAGATACGGGATCTAATGGGAATACTGTGAGTCAGTCTGCTCTCCGTTTATGTGGAGACTTAGTGGAGTTGTCGATAAATAATTCTTCCTCTTGCATCTCAGGCCACACCTGAAGGGCAGTTTTGTTGAATCTGAGTAACAAAAGTCAAGTATGCGACGTTAACGTCACATCTCTAATTATTGACTCTGCTGAGTGATAACGGTTAACAAAAAATTCATAAAGAATTGATTATTTCCAGTTATATTAAGTTTCACACAGGTTTTTGCTTGCACTTTGTCCAGGCTTTACAGTTTTGGCCAGTGCACTGTCTGCAACTTTGCGTAAAATAAGATCTGTGTGCCTCATTTATGTAATGAGGAAGACACAATACTTTGGATGTTGTTGATTTGCTCCCATTCTTCCGCTTAGCTCCACTTTGAGCAGTAAGGTATGCCACAAGGCTGTAGCTCCTCTGCACTCACAGCCACCTGACTGATTCTGCACTACAAGCGGCTAACTGCTAAATGTGTGCTTAGGGCTGCTGTCAAGTGAGAGGTAGGTGTTTGTTTACCAAAAGTAAATATGAGGCCACTGAAGCCTAAATTGCATTGATTGGCTGGTGCAGCTATTTGATGGTCCCTTGTGGTTGCAGTCTTCAGGCTGGTTTGTCGGGGTAAGACTGATCAGTGCTGGAAGGTGCGTGGAAGGCATATGAGAGCTTTTTAAAGGGGGACTCTACCGATTTAACACATCAAAGTCTGTTTACAGGTCTTGGGGGATATTCCTGCATGTGAAAAAAGTTGTATGAAATCTGATAAATGTCCTTAAGTGATGTCACTTTAAGACTACCGGTACTTAGGTTGAAAGTGAAGACATCTGGGGGTGTGGGGTTAGAAATAAGTGAGGTTATCAGACATCCGTAGCCCGTTTCTCATCTCTGTTTGAGGCTATAGCAACTCAAGGCTACATTAGCTGGTAGTCGGTGGTTGAGTTGCATCATGGATAATGTAGGTGCCAGGTTTTGACAAGGACAAAGAATGACTAAGGGTACATCCCAAGTCTCTTAATTGCATCCCCGCTTCCCTCACTAGTCGGTGTATTAGCTACAGTAAATGTTGGTCGGTACGCCCCCAGTTTGGTAAATCAGACTGGGAGCAAAGCAAGTTACGGACAGTGGCAGCAAAACCTATTGCCTAAAAAAAACAAAAAAAAAAAACAATATCCATTTAAGTATGGCGAGCCTTTCTTTTAGGCGTCTAAAATGATCCTGACCCCCAAAATATATAAAAAAATCTGCCAAAATTTTCTTTTCTTCCTGTTTTAAGGATGAATGTAAGAAAGATTATCCTGGAAAAAGCTTTTTTCCCCACTTGTTCTTAAGTAATCAACAAAGGAGAGAAAAGACTGAGAAAATGGATCAATTGTTATTGTCTCGCTTGCCCCCTATAGGGCTTCCGTAAGATAGTCAACTAATCGGAGAAAGAATATCAGGTTGCAACTGTCCTAACAGACATGAAGGTTTAGAAAACAGGCGGGTCACACACAGTTATGACGAGGGGTGTGAGACTGATCTGTGGAATTGCTGCTGCCCTTAGGAGGCAGGTCTTCACTGACTGATTTGCCGAAACAATGAAAACGAAGCCCTTTTGATTTGTCACAGTGAGAAGAGCACTGGTGTTATAGCATTAATGATAACTTTGTTCTGTTCAAGTGTCCCGGTAAGTTGTGACAGTGAGCCAACATGCACAATACCAGGACTGAAGCAGCTGAAGGGAATTCATCGTTCATCCATGCATCATTCATTTGATTATTTACACTTGTGCTTCTCCTACTGGGACATGTCCTCATGACCCGTTCGATCACTGTAACCATAATTACCATGTGTACAATGTCCCCTACTCACTTTGACTAAACTGTTAAATGCTTCAATAGAGAGAAAAGGTATACGGTAGATTTCTTTCAAAGAAATTAGAAAGGAGACGCTTAAAACGTAAAATTAGAGGCTGCCAGGCACATCTCTGTGTGCATCGGAGGAGGCTCTTGGGAGTCTATAGCCACCCGACGTGAACACAGGAGGACAGTTTAGGAGATAATTGGGCAACGGTAAAAAAAACAAAAGTTATGTTAACCCACACGCAGAGATACCGAACTGACTTACACAGCAGTTTCACACTGTTTCTTTCACTGCAGTATCATACTAGTAAAAATCTGTGTTCTAAGACCGTTATTTATTTTACTAAGGACACTAACGCAGCACTTCATAATGTCAAATATTGCACAACTTAAGTACATATTACATAAAATAACTGTCTGTGTTGGCCAAAACACAAGGTTTTAATCATTTTGAGTCTTTTCTGGTCGACTCTCGTTTCCTCTTTATTACTTCCAGTTTCTCTCTCTATTTTATGTGAAACAAAATTATCCACATGACTAATATTGTTTGGGCTCCAGGCTTTGAGGTTTTTGCAGCCCTGTGCTCTGTAGAATTACATATTGATGTTTGATTTATTGAGCATTGAAACTTAAGGTCACCATCATGACAGTGTCTCGATCATTTCCCCTTGTCATTGTCAAATCAAGGTTTTAGAATATTTATTACCAGCAGAGTCATACTTTGATATCATGTTATGTTGTAAATGACATCAAATTAATATAATTACTCAAAGAATCTAAATGTGTACAGTCCAGTAAACAGAAATAATAAGTAGCTAAGAGGTTTACAGAAGTTTAGTATCATACATTACAATATATCCCATCTCTGATTTATATGCTGACAAGAAATCTGGGTTGGTATGAAAAATCACGTCAATAACAACCAGTGTTTAAATGACATTTGTTACTGTGCTTGAGATTTTCTTCTTTTTTCTTTAACCACACCTCAAAGCAATGTTAACTTCCCGCTTGTCAAACTGGTTAGAAATGCTCTGCAGCAACTGACTGCAGAAGGTTTACCAGCAGTTTAGATTATGTTCTTGTCAAACATTAACATTTTGTTTTAGTTTGCATCAGCATGTTGTGGCCTTTCCTCATAAACCAGTGTCGAGAGTCAGGCAGCACTACTTCCCGTTTAGCACACTGAGCTGGTAGTTAATTACCAATGCTACGCATAGTTAAAATGGGATAGTGGTATCTAGGAGTGAAGAATGGGATATGATGAAGAGCATGTAATGGTTTTATTAGACTGTGATCAGGGTGACTGATAGAGAGAGACCCTGGAGCACTTGCTGACCCCATCTCCAATGATTCCCCTCTCTCTGGCCCATGATTGCTGTTAGAGATTCCAATTAGAAAGCATGTGTGGAAGCCCGAGCTGGGTAAGAATAGGCCTTAATTGCCATGAGTTATCATCTAGACCGATGTAATTGAGCCCCCATCTTAAGGGGCAGCACATCTGACAAATTGATTTAATACCAAAGTGATTCTCCATCCCTAATGGCACTCGGCCTTCTTCACTCATGTGCTACAGGCACTGAATTCATTGTGTGTTGATTACTAACCGGCCTGAAACCGTTCTCTCAGTCCACCCACTTGAAATGGCTCAACAACAGACACACACACACACACACACACACAATATCGACAGACACGCATACTCATACAGCCTAAAGCAGCAAGCTCATAATCTCCACAAGCGATTTGAATGTATGAGTGTGGGAGCTTTGTCACATTTACTGAACAGGTTTTGCCAGTTTTTTTTTTTTTTTTTTTTTTTTTTTTGTGCCAACATATGCCTAACTTGCTTGTTTGAACTTGTCACTTTTGGAAAGTAGTTTCACGTCCTGTTTTTTTTTTTCCTGTTTAAGTTCAATGGTTAAATAATGAAAAGTAAGGCTATTTTTGTTTGTTTTACACAATTTTGCAAATAATCTGTCCCTCGAGGACAAACTCTGCCAACCTCGATTACACTGATCGATTTCTCTATTAGCCTGATAACAGAAGATATTTTCCTACTAAAATTCAGTCCTAGACTAGGAGAGAAAAAAGGATTAGTGTGTTTATATGGTTGTTTCTCAAATTTTAGCTGCATATAAATCCCATCTGATGATGGAATTTGGCCGACATCATTATCCTACCATTTCAAACAAATTCATTTATAATAATTGTATAAATGATCAGTTTAATTAAATTTACCGGCAACTATTTTGATAGTCAATCGGTTTGAGTAATTATTTAAGAAAAAAAAAGGCAAAATTCTATAATTCCAGCTTCTTTACTCCTCTCGACATTTGAGGAAGTCATCTTGGGCTTGATATTTTTCACCATTTTCTGGACCAAAACAACTAATCGATCAATCAACAGATTAGTCAACAATGAATATAATTGTTACTTGCAGCCTAATTGTGATCTGTAGATGCAAATAAGCAAACCCATTTTTTGGAGGTTCCCAGCTAACTACCCTGCATTGCTTATTTTATCTATGAGGAGAAAATGTGATTTGTTTAGTCAAACTATTGTTGATGACCCAATCCTTGTAGAATAATTGGGTGTCTATTTTAAGGTTTGAGTAAAAGCAGAGATGGTGTTACTGTAATACTGTTAGACTGCAGGAAAACACTTCTCCCTGTTGTTCACCATGTAATCAAAGTAAATGCTATCTGCTTTCAGAACATGGCACACTTGCTGTATGTGTGCTGACTCTGTTCTCTCTTTTTCTGCATCAGGGTCACAATGGCCAACACGAGCGGGTTGACTTCTTAACCAACAAAGAGAAGGTGTCATCAAAGCGGAAGTTCGGCATTCTGATCGGGGTCATTGTGGCGTTTCTCATCCTCGCGGCCGTTGCAGCGTTGCTCGTTTGGTTGTTTGTCTGTGAGTATAGTTGACAGCTTTCCTTTTCTATATCATCCAAGTAAAGAACTAGAACTAGGCTTTTATATGTGTTGGGATGTTGGACATTTTTGTACATAAATCAAGGTTATTCTTAATGGAATTAAATAAGAAATTCTTAATATTTACATTTCTAACATCAGTTAGATAATTCCCTCTTGCTGTGAAGGGTATGAGTGACTTGTTTGCACTTTGTAATTTCCCATTAGTGTTGGCCTATTTGACTGCTCCAACTGCTGTCTGTCTGTAGCACAGCTTTCCTTTCATTTATACAGAGTCTGATAAAATGGCCTCTGAAGTCATGATAAACAGCCTGTCTGCTCGATATGACATCACACTGTACTACTTTAAGTGGTGTCTCCTCTTTCATCAGAGGCAGCTATCTCATAGCGCTTTGTTGACCAAACACTTAACTCTCATCTGCTTCTCCCCTCCTAAGTTAAAGATGCTGATTCAGAAGCCACTCTTAGTAAGCAGCTTGGCCCATCAGCGCAGGTCTTCAGTGGGCATATGAAGCTGGTTGGTGTACCGTATAACGTGAAGCTGGAGAAAACCAACAGCAAGGAATTTGAGAATTTGGCGGTCAACCTGGAGGCAATTGTAAGTTTGACTCCCAAAAAAGATGACATTCCTAATTTTGTTCCCTTTGTATCATCTAGATTGTTTTAGTGTTAAGTATTTTAGCAAAGTGTTGCACTCAGTTCCCTTCCCTCACTGAGGATTAGTTGTTTGGCATCATGGAAATGCTTTTGAGAATGCCCCTCTCAATGCACAGAAACTGCTGAAGGCACAGTTGTGTAGGAGGAATAAAACGCAGTACTCAATACTCTTAGTAAATCCCTCAAAAGCGTCTCCCATTATTGGAGGCAGAGATGTTTGTTGAAGCACTTAGAAGCATGTTGATAGTTTAAAAAAAAAAAAACCTCACTCAAATCCCATCAAGCGCACACTTTCTCAGTGTAAAGCTACAGAAGTGAGGGGGTTGGGTGAGGATTAGAGTGGAGCTGGAATATTAGATGACTAGATGATTGGGGGGGGAAAAGCTTTAGGGTGAACTAGTTTTGCACTTGTGCACAACAGAAAGGACAGCTTTTGAGGAGTAGTTTCAGATCTAGGTTACTGTTCACATGACAAGTACAAGCTGGAGATTATGGCTTCAAGCAAACAATGCTAGGCTGAAGCACCTTGAAGATAGATATCATGTTTAACCAGTTGTACTTTACTCTACTCTGCCACTCTAGCGCCACCTGTCCGTAGAGTCCTCGAAAAACTGTATTTTACCTCCCTGTGTCTCTTAAATGGTTTTAGTAAAATGGCAATGGGTTAATATTTGATGTTGCTGACTTAAGCTTTGGAAATGGCCATTTTGCAACTTGACATTTCATTTTATGATACGGGCCTCTTTATCCTGTGAACAACCTCTTTCCTCTCCCTCCATGACATTTTCTGCTTTTATCACTAACTACAAATTAAACCTGCTCACCCTTTGCACCTGGCCCTTTTCTCTTTTTTAGTTTTACCTTTTCACAACAAGCACTTGAAGCTAGATATGGGCGTACATGCATAATGTATGGTAGACCCGCATTTAAGACCACAAAGTATGACTGCAGCCTTGTCTGATACAGTTCGCAGCTCACTGCAGCTGAAGGCAAAACAGTTAATTGAGAATCTCAGTGTTGTGTGCTTTTCATGGAAAGCGTTTTTTATGTTAACATGCTAATTTGTACTTTTGTCTTTAGGCAGACAAGCGGAAATCTTGAACATGTTCTTTGCAGTTAAAATACATCTTCTCTACACAGCTCAAGGAAAACTACAAGAAAGATCCACTCCTTGAAAAATACCACACTAAGTCTGTGGTCTCTGCTTTCAGGTAATGTGAGATCTTGATTTCTAGTTTTTCTATTGTGCTGAACAGATTGCATTTATTAAAATAGCCAAAATCAGGGTTAGATGAGGTCTGCTGATCATGTGTGTGTAGCAGTGTACTGTAGTGGGTTGTGAAGTTCTTCTGTAGGAAATCACAAGGAGTTGGCTTTTTGTTTATTTACAGTAATCCAAATCACCCATGTTCCACTAATCTTTGCTTCTTCTTGAATGTTGAAGCTTGTTACTGAAGGGTGTCTTTATGCTCTTCCTTCACACAATCCATCCATTTCTCTGTTATCCCTGCTTACACCAGTGAGGGTGTGATAGCCTACTATTGGTCCCAGTTTGATATTCCAGTCGAAGACCTGGAGGTCGTGCCGGAGTTCTCAGAAGAGCGGGTGTTGGAATCATTGGAGACTGGCCTAAAGGAGCAGCGCAGCATGCGGAGCGGCAGTGATATCAAGATCAGTGAGGTCACTGCCTCATGTAAGTACCACCAGGGCCAAGGGGGAGGGGCTTCACACCAAGGGGCCAAAAGATGGGGACAAGGAGTTTGCTGCTGGCTTCAGAATATGACATTTGACAATCAGCAAAATGAAGCTCTGTGAATACAGATCTAAATAAGGCAATTGTCATCTCCTATCAGCATTGGTATTCTGTATACTTTCTATTTGTATTAAAGGAGCTTCCTCTGAGTTGTGCTGATAGGATGATAACAGATAAACCAGACCTCTCTGCTTGTGCTGCATCTGAGATTGCACATTTGATGCTGTTTGGATCCTCTAATGGTATTAGCTGGGCTCTGGCCTGGCTTGAGACGGCCATTTTTCTTCCTTCTGTCCTCTCAGCATTCACATTGCATTTGTCCACATCCTGGCCACCTGCCAAGCGCTGGCCCTGTGACTCAGTGGTTTTGGTCCCTTTTAAAATGATTTCTGTGGTTATAATTTGATGTTGCTGTCCCAGATAGTTAGACAGAGATGTATGGGATGCTGCTGTAGGGCAAGGTGAGATGGAGCAGAAAGAGCTTCACACCATCACCAGTTCCCTTAGCCGCAGGGAAATTGAACAGAAAATGTGCAACCCACATATTTTAGGCTCATGCATCAAATCTTATAAGCTTCCTAACATTAGCGATCCATTCTTACCTTTCTGTCACCCCCCCCCTCCCTCCCTCACTGTCTCCAGTCACAGATCCTCGCATGGCCAGGAACCCCAGAGCCAGTGAGTACAGTGTGTCCCATTTCAATCACTAGTAGTTGTAATTTTCCAGCTGGCTAGATGCTCACCCTCTTGCCAGTCTGTAACGAATGGCTGGCCTGTACTGTACATGTGCTGCTCTTGTCAGAGGTTGAGAACCCGATATCAGTCCGGAGGAAGTCAGTCACTATGCTGACACATTTCTTTGACACTGTCTGCGGATTTATTACCGTGGGATGATTAGAGTACATTACATTACCATAGTAGCTCTGCTATCCTTGCATGAATCTGTGATCTATAACATGAAGGATGGAAGAACTTGTGATTTACATATTATTCAAATGTGTCATTTGTAATGCAGTCATTCATATGCATAATTAAAAAATGATTGCAAGGAAAATCATAAAAGACGCAACCTTTACAGTTAATATTTTAAAGAAAACAGTTAAAATAAGCAGAAAAAGATATAGAACATGATGATCAGATTTAAATTTCTGCTTTTGCCAAGTTACTCATCTATGCTCACTGTATGATATAACCAATGCTGTTTTTCCCCAGACGAGTGTTTCTACCGTCTGGAGGCTGAAGAAAAGGCAAAAAGATTTTCGTCACCAGGGTACCCTAAAGGCTACTCGCCCAAGTCTCGGTGTCAGTGGCAGATCCGTGCTCCAGAGGACAAAGCCATATTTGTCTCTTTCCCTTTTTTCCACATCGAGGATGACTGCTCTGATGATTTTGTCTCCATCTTTGACTCTTTGAGTCCAGATGATTCTCAGGCCATCACAGAGTAAGTCAGGGCTGTGAATTTCCACCCAGTTTGGGAGACATGTTAGTCATGGCACAAGACGCACTGATGCTTTTATGAAATACAATCTTTATGGATGGATCATGGTTTTACTATCGTACTACTTACTTGCGTGCGGTATGTCGTGCAGTATTACTTGCACTAATGCATCTCCTTTGAGACCAGTAAATTCATTCATTTTTGCTTCCACAGTGACAAAAATCATATTCTCATTTTGCCTTGAACCTTGGTAGCAGGGTTTGTTTAATAAGGCTCAAACAACATTTGTCTCATTTATTTAGCTTTGACGATCAGAGAGAGGGGAAATGTAGTTCTGCATGATTCCCAGAGGACAACCACTAGGAATCACTTGACTGCAATGTTGCAGAGGGATTTAGGAGTCAAAGCTCATTTGATGTGGGTGAAAAACATGTTCCACTTCATACCATTTCCCTGGATTTGTGATTACAGCTTTCTTTTTTTTTTTTTTTTTGGCACTGAAGCCTTTACGCTGTATGCATCATATTTTATTGTTAACTTCTGAGACCTCGGTGAGATTGAGTTGGCTCAAAAAGACCTCTGCTTTCAAAATTTGTGAAGGGTGCCAACCTGAATCCTGCTGCACCATTGTGTGTAATTGCACTTTGTCTATGGGGGAGGGTTATGATTCTGAACTACAGCCTCCTGAATGAAACGCCAGTTGTAGCTGCAGGCAATTTCAAACTCGGAAACCATTGCCAAACAAATATGCGTTACCAAGAGATGCATACATTTTTTTTTTTATAAAGCTATTGAGCGATCAGCTTTATCCAAGGTGACATGAGGTTTATGAGAGCCATAATACAATACTCTATAATGACATTATTCTACAAGAGGTGGATGTATTACTGCTCTTGCAGCGTCATTTACACCTGCCGCCAGCAGTGTTGGAACTTTTTGCTAATGTAACTAATGTTTGACTTTGAAACTCTGCTGAAACAATTTCTATCTAGTGCTGGCACATCTCTCCTTATTTATCTCTTTCTCTACCTCTGCTTATATATTGATTTATTTTCAAATTTGTTTGCTGAATTGATGTTTTACTGCTTCTGACGAAAAAGAATTTTAGCTGTATTTGAGTTCCCTCAGGAAGAGCAAAACTCTGTTCAGTAAATGCATCAGACGTTCAGCTCATGCTTTATGGTTGTATTTACTTCAGTTTGTTGCAAACACCTCTTTCTTTGTGTACCATCTTGCTTAACTACTCGTCCTTTTCTTGCAGGAAGTGTGGTCAGAGACCCCCCTCCAACCCTCTGGAGGTCACATCATCCGGCAACATCATGCTGATTAATTTCATTACTGATTCTAATGTCCAGAAGCCTGGCTTTGAAGCAGAGTATACTGCCATCCCCAGGTCTAGAGGTAATTAAGGCATTCATGGCACTAACCATCATTTTCTACGTTAGTTTACCTTGATTTGTTTAGTTCTGTTTATACTTGAACCCATTAATGACTTATAATATGTCATGCTTGAATGTAAATATATGATGTGTTCTTTTCAGTTAAAAGCTGTGGTGGTGTCCTCTCTGAAAACCAAGGGGTCTTCACCTCCCCACTTCACCCCAGCTTCTATCCTCCTGCAGTGGACTGCAAGTGGACCATCAAGGTTTGCAACATTGCTCCTCTCCCAGGGCCCCCTCCTCTACCTGAAACCCCCCCACCCACCTCCTCCTCCTTCTCCATCCTTAGCCTGCCACGAGAGGAATGCTGAGGCAGCACTATAGAAGCCAAGCTGTTCAGTACCTCTTCTATCTTCATCTGTCAGACCGCTGTTGCTGCCGCAGCTCTAGCTGAACCGCAGTGCTTTGTGTGTTGGTTTTGTTTGCTGGTGTGTGTGAGTGCGTGTCGCTGTGCATGTGTGCACCCACAGCCTGTTTGGGTGTGTTGCGAACTTGTCGTCTTGCATTTACATGGGATACAGATGCATGTCTTGGTCTGTAGGTGGAGGAGTGATATGCATGGTAAGTAAGGTTGTTATGAACCAATCGGCTCTTCCTCTGTGTTGTAGGTCCCTGCTGGCAATAAGGTGCGTGTGAAGTTCACCATGTTCCGCATGAAAGAGCCTGGGGTGGACCTCCGTGTGTGTCACAAAGACTATGTGGAGCTTATGGGCACAAAGTAAGACTTAAACTCATTTAACTGAAAAATGCTTCCCGAAACCGTCTGTTGTTAACATCCATCACAGTTTACAGACTGACTTCTTGGTTCAACTTTGACCCACTGTACTTGTAGTATTTGTGCGTGCACACAGTTTTCCTGTGCAATTTAAGTTACTCTCACTTGCAGTTTTACTTCCAAATAAAACTAAACTAAACTATTGCTTTGTTTACATGTTGTCTGACTGCTCGTGTTTCCTGCCCTTTTGGACATATTTGTAGTGATATTGCCCTTTACTCTAATGTTGGCATTACTTCAGTAAGCATATTGTCGTCATAACTGCAAAAATGAAAACCATAAACCTGAATTTTCATTTGAACATTGTTCTGCAGGTATTGTGGAGAAATGTCGTCTTTGGATCTGACCAGCAGCACCAACATCCTAGATGTGAGCTTCCACTCTGACGAGTCCTACACTGACAAAGGCTTCAGTGCCACCTACAGCGCTTACGATCCCAAAAACCGTGAGTTAAAAGTCTGTTTCACACCCATGTTTATGCGACACTTGGCTAGTTGGGTGGAATGTTGTGTCGTGACTGTGACACTCATAGCCTGCCATTAACAGAGGGAGTAACTGTGTTGTCAGAGAGACTATGAGACGGCAGCTGACTGACAGTCAAATGAGCTGTTTAGTGATGGAGGCTCAGAAACTGCAGCAGTGAAACTCAAGAGCTAGACTGATCATTAGAGAGCTTGTTTATTTGGTCCATTTTATTTGCCACTGTCAGTCAGGAGCACACCACTTTCAATACCCTCCGCTCTTTATGTTGTCTCCCAGTTTGACCAAAATGGATTTATAATTGCTCTGATCAACAGGGACAAGCATTGGCAACATGATGGATGTTGCGAACATACACTGTCACTCCCTCTCGGTCAATTTATCATCTTCTTCTTCTTTTCTCTGTTTTTGTGACCAGCTTGCCCCAACAAGTTTGCCTGCGCCTCTGGCATGTGCATCGAGAATGCATTGCATTGTGATGGCTGGAACGACTGCGGTGATATGAGTGACGAGATGGAGTGCAGTAAGTTCCCCCTCGACCCAACTGCACTTCTTCTGTCTCCCCCCCTCCACCTCATTTCTTATCCACTCCCCTATATCCTCCTCTCAGTCCCTTAAAGGAATAGTTGCGCATTTTGGCAAATACTCCTAATTGCGAGAGGTGAATTATGTGAAGATCAATACCACTCTCATAACTGCCTGTTAAATTTACAGTAAGGCTTCGGACAGCAGCCAGTTAGCTTAGTATGAAGGCTAGAAACGGGAGGAAATGACTAGTCTGGCTCTGTCCAAAGGTAACAAAATCTAAAGAGTAAAAACGATGAGGTGTCGTTTTATGGCGGCTACATCTGTATACAAGTCTATTGTTTGGCTGGGCTCGGTGATTTCCTGGAGTCTTGTCATTATTGTGAGGTTGCCAGGCTCCAGGAAGTTACTCACGGCAAACGGCCAAGATATAGTCTCGTACACAATCCCCCGTAAAAACCACAACCTTGTTTTCACACTTTAGGTCTAGTACAAATTAAGTAAACTAGATAGGATGTGTTAATTATTGAGATTGTGTCAAGCAAGGCTAGCTGTTTTCAGTCTGTGTGCTAAGCTAACTGGCTGCTGGTGGTAGCCTCATATTTATTATCCTACAAACTTTAGAGTGGTATTGATCTTCTCATTTAACTCTTGGCATGAAAGCGAAAACGCATATTTTCCCAAATATCTGACTATTTCTTTAAGGCTCCAACTATTCCCTTTCTCTATTTATCTTTTGATCGACTGGTTAAATTATATCCAGTGATTTGCGTTGGTGAATATGCCTTTTTCAAATCACTCATGTACATCTTCCTCAGTTGCACTGTTTAATACAAGACATTTCTATTACCCCAGAGTGTGACAAAGATCAGTATTCATGTGACAATGGCATGTGTAAACCAAATCTCTGGGTGTGCGATCGCGTCAACGACTGCGGCGATGGGAGCGATGAGAAAAGCTGCAGTAAGTATTGCTAAGGCACTCAAACCCTATCTAATGCTATGCTAATTGTGCTAACATTAAAGGTACATGACTACTAATGCTCTGGTCACTGACTTCTGGGCAGTGTGAAGTCATTATTTTATCGGTAAAGGAATTTGTTTGAAGCTTTTGCCCAATTTGCTCAGCATCCCTCCAGACGCGTAATCATGTGTTATGCACGCAAGACGAATGGAGACAGATGCTAATGTCCACTGTAGCTGCACTGCTAATATCCTTCTGAAACATATTGGCTTGTCTTCTCCTCAATCAAGTTTTCACGATTATTTCATTGTGATTTCCTCATCAGGTTGTGGGGATAATGAGTGGCGCTGTGGTGATGGGCTTTGTATGCCTCAGGATGTTGTGTGTGATAAGAAGATGGACTGTGAAGATGGAAGCGACGAGGCCTCTTGTAAAACCTGTAAGTGGCTGCATTTATTCGCTTCCCAGCCAGTCCGGCATTAAAGCAAAGAAAAACGAACCCACATGATTCATAAGTATGTTACACAAACCATTAAGCAATTAACCTTCGTCAGTTAAGTTTTAGAATTTTACAAAGATGATGCACTGAAGATTCAAAGTATTTTTCACGTTATTTGAGCACTCTCTCATTTTCCCCTACTCTTCACTTAACTCTTTATCAATTTCCCTTTCGCTCACTCACTCGGTCAAACACCTACACACCTACACACCTACACACCTACACACACCTACACACACGCACGCACACACACACACACACACACACACACACACACACACACACACACACACACACACACACACACAGAAGACTCCCTTGCATTTCCTTTTGATTTTCACTTCTGTGAATAAAGGGGGATATTAGACCTCAACCCCAATCAAGGCAATCTGCTCCTCAATCACAATGCATTGTGCATTCAAGCGTCACTTTGAAGCTTCGCTGATTGCTAAGTTTAACCAGTAAAATACTATGCAATGCACTAAAGCTTTGATTGAAATACGCTATGTGTTTTGATTTTGGGACCTGTTTCCACCCCTTTGTAGCTCCGGGCATCTGCTCTGACTACAGCTTCAAGTGTAAGAACACAGATTGTGTCAACAAGGTGAATGCCGAATGCGACCGTGTTAACGACTGCTCTGATAACTCCGATGAGGCCAAATGTGGTAAAGTATTTTGGAAAAATTTAGCATTTTTACAATTTTAAAACAGCTGCAAGTGGATCTAATCTCTTCAATGTCATTCAAAATAGATTATAGAAGAGCTCATTTGAGCTGCGCGTTGGGCTGTCTGTTAGAAAAGAGCCTCCGGCCTTGACTGATTTATTTATTTCATTCGTCTTTGAAAGCAGCTCCTGTCATTTCTGAAGTTTTTGTTTTTTCCTCCATTTAAGCCTCAGGGTGTGTCTGTGTTTTTTTTTTTTTTTTTTTTTTTTTTTTTTTTTTTTTTTTTTTTTTTTGTTTTTTTGTTTTTTTGATCAGCTAATATGCCAGTGTGCCTTATTAGGATTCCAAAGAGTCATACTAGCATTCACAGCCAAGTCCGGCCTAATGAGAGCTTCCAGTCAATTTAATCTTCCCCTCTGATCAAGCATGCCAGTCTCGCCTAGTATTTTGCACTCACCATCCAACGCCCTTCCTTCCTCATAATATTCACTGTTTACATGTCAGATTGTGGCACCAGGCCCTATAAGCTGAACCGCATTGTGGGAGGGCAGAACGCTGAGACGGGGGAGTGGCCCTGGCAGGTCAGCCTTCACTTCCTGACCTATGGACATGTTTGTGGTGCCTCAGTCATATCTGCGAAGTGGCTCCTTTCGGCCTCCCACTGCTTTGTCACCAACAGCCCACAGTGAGTCACATTTTACATCCATAGCACGCATACACATGTACAGAGTAGAACTGCACTATCTAGCTGTCTGTCTGTATGTATAGATATGTATGTAACAGATTCCCTTTCATATATTTTAGTGTAAAACTGTTGTTATTGCCCTTTTAGATTTTATTATTCATCACAACATTTTTATTACATTTCGTTATGCAATATTTTCAGACTTATTCTGCTGGAAAAAAAGAACTGTGCACAACAGAGGACCATTTATATACAAATTGCAAAGTCTGAAAATTAGCCCCATATGATAGTTAATTTAGAAAAAACATTGGGGGGGTGGGGGGGTACATGAAAGCATGGAGCTGTATTCATCAGAGCCCTGTAGGTGGAGCACTAACCATGCTGTTCGACCTGAGCCACATCTATTTTTGTTGAGAAGGGAATGTGTTCATTTTCACCCATTTACAGTTGGTGTTGATTATAAAAAGAAATATATCGAATTATATTTAATTTGCAAGCATTTTCTTTACGGTCATATATCATCACAAGTATTATATTCATTTTGAATATTTTTAAACTATACTATTATGAAAATGTAATCCAATACAATCTAATCAAATACTACCTTTTGTAATGCTTTTGTTGAGACTCTTGGAGAGGATGTTGGATTGCTTCATGTTGAAAGCGGTTCTTATCATTTTGTCTCAACAAAAACTGAAACCTTACACTAGCATCGGTTGAAGGGCTGTTGTGTTGACTTGTATTAGGTTGTACACATGTTCGTGATGTTATATGCTGCCGCGTGTACAGTAACCTTTGCCCCATGATGCAACCACAGAAACCATGTACCATCCAACTGGCAAAGCTACAGTGGCATGCAGGACCAGTACAAGCAGGATGGCGTACAGCGCAGAGCAGTGAAGACGATCATCTCCCACCCGGATTACAACCCGATGACCTTTGACTATGATGTTGCACTGCTGGAGCTCAGCGAACCGCTGGAGTTCACCAACACCATCCGACCCATCTGCCTACCCGCTCCCTCCCACATCTTCCCTGCAGGCATGGCCTGTTGGGTCACAGGCTGGGGCGCGCAAAGAGAAGGAGGTATTATGCATGAACTGGTGATTTTGGGTTGACCCGTCGTTATTTATTTATTTTTTTTATTGTTGGTTTCACTGTAACTCATTATTATGCTAATTCTGAATATTTCTGCTGTTATTCCTCGATTATGTGTGACCCACTCTACAGTTGTAATTTTCCTTTTGGCATATCTAACTCGCATCAAAATTAAGACATCCCACTCCTCCCCCATCCTCACAATGAGCTATTCATCTCTGTCCTTCATCTTCCTCCCTTGCCCGCTTCCTTCTTCTTCCCTTCATCTCTTTCTCATTTTATCCTTTATTCTTCCTCTCTTTAATGTCCCACCCATTTCTTTATCTTTCCCATCATGACATACTTCTTCTCTTCAGCTCAACCCTCCCTCCCTTTTCTCTCATCTTTTTCAAATCTGCTCTATTGCATTACGCCTTCTTCCATATCCATATATCAAGACAGATGTCGGCTCTCCTGGGAAGCCTCTTAAACCTTCATTAGCTAACTCTATTCCAGCCCATTAACACCTTTGATGTTAATGATGAACACAGAGGTCACATGTCCCCTTTGTCCTGCTCTTGCAGCTGCAAAGGCACAGCTGCTGCAGAAGGCAATGGTGAAAATCATCAATGACACAGTATGTAACCTAGTCACGGAGGGCCAACTCACCTCCAGGATGCTCTGCAGTGGATTCTTGACTGGAGGAGTTGACGCATGCCAGGTGAGACCGAGCAACACGTTCTCCAGAATAGAATAAAAGGACAAAGGGTTGATACAGATGGGTTTTCGCACTTGTATAATTATCACGCTCTCACATCCAAACCCAATTTATAACCGCCCTCCCCATACTATCCTCACCAGGGAGACTCTGGAGGCCCCCTGGTGTGTTTCGAGGAGAGTGGGAAGTGGTTCCAGGCCGGCATTGTGAGCTGGGGTGAGGGCTGCGCTCGTCGGAACAAGCCTGGTGTCTACTCACGCGTCACCAAGCTGGTAGACTGGATAAAGACAGAGACAGGGATTTGATGATGTCGGTAGGAACAGGGAGGGTTGCTGAGCGGGGATCAACAGCATAGTGCTAAAAATATTGGAGACGGAACATTTGAGTCTAATTCAGGACAAGTCTCTCCAAGATGTATTCATTGAGCAGCAGACTGAGGATACTGTTGCACAGATTCAACCACTCGCATGAATGACTTAAAGCACTTTATTTGGTTACCAACTCCCAGTTTCCCACTCCTCCCACACACTGAACATTTTACAGTTTTTCAAAAAGGTAAATTGTAAACGGGTGAGATGCCTTCATCCTCTTGGGCAGAGTGAATGTTGCACTTTGCCAGTGTGCTCATGCTGTAGATGGCTGTGAATTTAGGGTTTTATTGGTAGTATAAGTATTTTAAAGAACTGTAATTCTCGTTTTAGCCATGGACTGTATATAAAAAGAGGGATGTAGTCACCGGGATGTCACCTATTGGTTTGTGGACTGCCGTTTTGAAGTCTGGAGTTTGGCATTTTGGTCGTCACCATCTTGGTTTTTGGCGGTCGCCATCTTTGCGTTTTGCAACGTGACATGAGCGGGTGAAGCTAAGTACAACCAAATGCTGAATATGTCATTTTGGCGACCAAAAATCGATCAAATTAACTTTCATGAACTGAAAACACACTGTGAAAGGGATAAAGTTATAAGACAAAAACACTGACAAGTCTCAGACTGGACAGCACCGAGGTAGAGACCTGTCAATCAAAAGGTAGCCACCCCTAAAACATAACCTGTTTTAACCTGTTCGCCACAAAACACTCCTACATTACCACTGACCATTTTCAGCATAGAAGCATAGCATAGGTTTTCAGATTGATTAAAGCATTTTATCTGCCGGACAGCCATTAGTCTCAGATTTTATTAGTATTGTATAAACATGAACTTTTAGAGACATCAGCATTACCGTAATAGAAGTTAAGATAAAAAACCTCAACCTGTTGTTCAAATCCATGCAGGGACATTTTTATACCATACTAAAATCAATGAAAGACAGAAGTATAATCAATCTAATAGCTCACAACAGTAATTTTAAGTATACCAAATTTGTAGTTTGTGGGCTAAAACAGGCACTGACATGGAAATACGGAATTGACCCTGAAGTTGTTTTAAGTTGTTGTTGATCTGAACTAAATCAGTGTTTCTATTACATACTGACTTAGGCTCACTGGCCTTGCCTGGTCTGTGAATGAGTTGCCAAAATGGGATATGCAATGAGTTCTTATCCCTATGAGAGTTTCCTCTCTTTGGTAATGACCAACTCGGTCAACTTTTAAATCTAAGATTTGACTGGATGATTTATTTTACTCTGTGTGCCTTCATCTCTGACTTATACTGGAAATATTGTATCCTGGATAAGCAAACCAAAGATTTGCAAAAATGTTATTTATTGAAGGGGAGAAATTTGTTGAGGATAATGCTCAGTGGCCCTCTTATTAATTCCATGGAGCTTTACAGTCAAACTATACAAGCGTAAATATGTATTTTTCATAAATTAGGGAGAAGCCACAACTTTTAGATGGAAGATATTTTCATGAGCATTGTACAGTGTGATTTGGGATATGGACATATTTTATAATCTGTCTTTATATGTTTTAATATGAAAGAGTTGTAGTAATAAAGATCTTTTATCTAACTCTGCAGTGCCTAATTGCATTACCTGTGTCATTTGTCTTTGGCGAGGTCTCATTTTGTATTATGTTGTGCATAATAAATGCATGTCTTGTGAGACCTTGTCCCCTCTCACAGTAGTATTGTAATGAGCATGTTACTCTCCTCCCCGTTGTGAGCAGCATGCCTACCTGGGGAACAGAGGTGACAAGCTCATATTGTCAAATAATACCTGCCTTTGTCACAGCTCTATCCTATTAACCTACAAGATGGGCACGTTGACTTCGGGAGATGCACACACATACAGTGGGGTTCCACTATCTCATCTGTCTTCATTAAAAGCAACGCACCACTGGGGGAATAGGAAAATCAACATAGACAGTGCTGCTATGTATTCATCATTGTTGCTACATGGGAAGCTTTGTTTGTTGATGTTCCCCATGCCCAATGAAGCTACGAACCAGGTTGATTAAGTCTCAGAATTCACACAAGCCAGTTCTTTATCGGAAATGGTTTTATTTAAATATAAATATGTGTACAAAGGTACAAGCAACGATAGCTCATTTTTAGCAAATAAAATTCTTAATACATTATTAAAAGAATGAACAAACAAATGGCAATTAGTTGTGTTCCAAAAAAGAAAAAGCATAGTAACTGCATTCAGTGATTGATGAACAACGTAGAGAAGAAAATATGTTGACCCAAATAAATCCAAGATAGATACATATGTATATAAAGATACAATAGAGCAGCTTACACGCTGTACATTAAGGCTTATATAAAATATAAAAATAAAGACAAGCGATGATGTTTGCCTCCTCACTTTAGGTGACATTTGCTCTCATCAGGCTGCCTGGTAACAGCTTTTTAGACAAATGGCAGTACAGGCATACTGAAACATCCAGGAAGTGGAATGCAACTGGGCCAGGTGCAGAAACCAATGTCTCAAACATGAAATGGACATGAATAAAAACGCTGAAGATTTTCACTAGACACATCATTTGCATGCAACAGAGAGAAAGTATGGGCTCCGCCATTTGTACAGATACTTAGTGTTTCAGGGTAGTACTGTTTCTTGTAAACATATTGAGACAATTTGATTGAGTGGTAAAACTTGAGCGTATGGTCCATATTGGGACTGCCTTACACGTCTTTCCCCACCTGAGCCTGCTGAAGATGACGCTGCATTCAAGTTTTTTTTCAAGTTCAAGATTGCCACCATTTTCCAAACCACCACTTTTGATTGTTCTGGTAATAGCCTCCTCTTCATTTTACAATCAGAAAACAGTACCAGGGGTGGGACAGCAGTATTCAGCCCCCGTTTTCCCCTATACAATTATCACCATCTTTGGGTTTTCATGGCTTTACCTTGTCCATCTTGGTACAACACACAGTTAACAAGTAGCCATCCATTACAACGACAGCTAAAATTCACATTCTCTTCATATCTCCTTCTCTTGTCCACGGACAAGCAACACTGCTAAGTCCAACACCTTAGGGTTATCGGAAGAAGCTCCAGGAATACAGCTCAGGCCAGGAGTATTCCGCCACTGATTAAACTCTTCATACAGTACAGTGCCTGTAGCACTTGTTGGTCAGTAGAGCTAGCCTGTTGTGCAGAATAGTTAGTCTGTCTCTGTGGATAGCTCGGTCTTTTGTGGATGATAGAGACACAAATGTGCTTAGAATTCCTTTCGCATGCCAACAAAACACCAAATGACAGACGAACAGTAGGTTGTTCATGTTTCTTTTTTTTTTCCTGAAATATATCTTGGCTTGTAATATCTTTCAAAGTATTTTCGAGGTCTTGTTTAACATTTAGTGTTGACACAAAGTAAACTCTGAAAGGCAGGTAAACAGCTACCCCAGTCATTTTGGCCACCCAAATTCAGGAGATGCATTTGATTTATTTTCTAGTTGGTGCTGGCAAAGAGACAGAATATCTCCACAGGTTTGGGTGGTCATCATGTAGAGATAACCTGGTGAGGTATCGCACTGTAATCAAAGGTTTGACTTGAACGTCACAATCTGCTGAATTCTCCAGCTCAGGAGCTCCACAGATCCCGCCATCCATCACAACAAATAAAGGTTGGTTATCCTATAACCCCCATAAATCACATGGCTCCCTCCAAATACTGTCCAAACATGTCCTTGAAGGACCGTCTGAGTAAGGTAAGTCTCTGTTCATGTTAGTCCAGCCACGTGTATGTGGAGGTGACAATGGTTATCTGCTACTGTACGCTCCTTTTTTTTTTTTTTTTTTCTCAATTCTTTTGTCCAGTCAGACATGCGTCTGCATACGTTGTGAAGGCCGGCCATAGTCAGACTGCTGGGAGGATACTTGTGAGGAGGCATAAGAGAAGCGAGACGAGCTGGACACCTTGCTGGCCTGATCTGATTGGTCATACGCATCCACCTTCTCATAGGAAGCGGGCTTAACGTAGCTGGTGAAGGCGCGACCATAGGTGGCAGGTAGGTATGCAGAGCCACTGTAGAGGGGATCAGAGGGATAAATGCTGGCTGGCTGGGCGGGCTGCTGTTGCTGGGCAGCTTGTTGCTGTTCATATGCAGTTCTGCCTGCTGTGGTGGTTGCGTATCGGTGGGAGAAGTCATAGACACGAGGCTGGGTGCCTTGCTGACCATACATGGGGCTGGGGGAGGGCAACTGCGATGGAGTGTAGACTGGCCGAGTGTTGGGCACGTATTCAGAGAAGCCACTGCTGCGGATATTGCGGTCTTCATGGCCACGGACATTGTAGTAGCCATTGGTGGGGTCCTGTGATAAGAAAAGAAAAATGAACATAGTTCAGCATTGTGTATAATGGATTAAAGTAATGCATTCTAGCTAAACTGAGTGTTTCTTCAGGTATGTTTTTTTTTTTTTTAGTTTTACCTTGATGTCCGATCTCTCATCCTCCTCCTCTTCCAGGAGGTCGCTGTGTTCTGTGCGCGATGTCCCAGGAGACTCGCTGCTGTTCGGTGCCTGAGGGAAGACCAAGCACATTTGAAGAATTACTCGGATGAGCAAGACCTCACTTGAGTAAGAACAAAACAAAGTCTGAGCATTACATTACAGTGTTAATGTGAATTTTCCCAAACCATCAACAAAGATATCTACATGGCATACAAAGACGGTGCTCAAAGAAATTCACCATGGGCTCTTTGACATCCTCCTCATCATCATTGCCACGTGTAGCGTTGTGATCACTATGAACAATCTGAACTCTGATGTCACTTTTGGAAAGACGAGTGCACCTTTTACCTGTAGGGATTAAAAGGAAGAAAAGATTTACTTGACATTACCAGGCAGACTTGAACATCAAATTCTATTGAATCACAGGTGAAACGGCTCAAAAACTGAACAGAAACTGTTCAATTTCTGGCTCACAAATGAAAAGGACTTTAATCTGTTTGATTTGAAGAATTGGCTGTTGACCCTCTCGCCCATACTAACCGTTGAGCTCACCTTTGCCCGTGTGCCTGCAGCAGAGGGAGACCAGAGTGATGACACAGATGAGCAGGACACAGCCTCCACCTACCGCTCCACCAACAATTATCAGCATAGGCAGGGCTTCTGCAACAAGAACAGTAATGGAAGGAAAGTGTGGCGTAGCGGGTGGGGGTAGATGGTTGTCAAGAGAAGTAGAGGGATGAGCGATAGCAGAACATAAGTGTCACTGTCAAGAACGTGCAGATCAGAGCAAAAGAAAGAAAGAGATCCATTCATTTGTCTTGCTAATCCCAGAAACGTCAGCGCCTATATAAATTCATCTGCTGTAAGCCCCGGCCTGCTCACAGCTAGCATATGCTCATGCGGGCAATCCGGCATCCCACAGTCTGCCTATTGTCTCTAATCTCTCTAAAAGAAGGGTAACAAGGCCTGACATGCAATGAAGCAACAGACAGTAATCTAATTAGAGATTCCAGGAGATACCGCTGCCCATTTCTCTGGAGACCCCACTCTGCTACGTTGATTTAGATTACTGGCGAGGACCTTATTTTTGGTGTCTGCTGCAACAAAGGCTTCCACAAGCAGCAGTGTAGTAGTTCTACTGCCTTATTTTAAGATCACTTAAAGCGACTGCAGCCTAAGATGCTGAATTTGGCATTGAGACAGAGATAGAGGATATGAGTCCAAACGCATGTAGCTTCCTCTAATCGACTTTTGTCCCCGATCAATATCTCTGTTATGGGGCAAACATATTCATTAAAGGAACCATCTGCTGATTAAATCATATTGATTAGAAGAGTATACTGTAATTAAGATAAGCACAAGACAGGAGCGCTGCTTTTCCCTAATCTTGCCTCCTTCACAGCAAGGATTGAGAGTATCATTTTAACTCTGGTGGGGATTAATAATCCTGTTTGTGTGTACCTTGCTCCTTCAGTGTTACCAGGGCGGTGCCAGTGCCAAAGCGGTTCCAAGCGGTGCAGTTGTAGCGCAGCTGGAAATCCTGTGCCAGAGTCTCGGACAGCACCAGGGAAGACAGGACACCATGGTCGCTGGTTACTGTCTGTACTGAGTAACGACCGGAGGAACCAGAGGACAGGCTCATGTCTCCAAAGGTCCACACCTGTTGAGAGGAGCAGGGAAAAAGACAACAGGGAGTAAGTCACATTTCTGTAAAGAATTGCTCACTGGCGAGCTAAGCAGAGGCCTGCCTGGATGTTTATCCTTAGATTTCGGCCTGCCGCCGACTGAACACCAGTTTCTCTTTCCATCCTGCTTTCTCTCTGCCGACCTCTAAGGTGCTCCGTGGCTGACACAGCTCACAGGCTCATGTTTAAGTCGCCCCCCACATCTGCCCTGCAGGTGAGGCCTAAGAAGGGTTAGGTAGCTGCATTATGAAATAAGGCTCCTCTCTGCTGTCTCTAGTGCAAGGCCAGCAGGGCACATGTCTCTCACTCCTCCTCACACCCTAATTATCCTCCCTCAGCCCAGCGTACGTTCAGCAGTTCAACGGGGTCAGTCAGCCGAGTGATGCCTCTTGGGCCGCTAA